TCTTTCTTTCTTTCTTTCTTTCTTTCTCTCTTTCTCTCTTTCTCTCTTTCTTTCTTTCTTTCTTTCACAGAGTCTCAAGCTATTGCCCTTGGTAGAATGCTGTGGCATCATAGCTCATACCAACCTCCAACTCTTGGGCTGAAGTGATCCTCTTATCTCACATTTTCTATTTTTTTTTAGTAGAGAGGGGGTCTCACTTTTTCTCAGGCTGGTCTTGAACCTGTGAGGTCAATCAAGCCACCGGCCTTGGTCTCCCAGAGTACTAGGACCCACCACACCTGGCCGAGGTCATTTCTTGAATCCCCAACACATACCTCAGTAGAACCTCTGTAAGTTGATCACCCAAGGGACTATAACAAACTGATCAACATACAGAGATTGTCACCCTAAGAAACTTCCATCGAGTACATGTGGTATATGTCTGGCCTATAAAATCAGAGGTGGTCAATGTAGGGAAGTGGTCAACTATGGAGGTTCTGTTGTAGTTAACCAGCTACCATAAGACAGCCCTTGGGCCACCAAAGGATGCCTGCCTGTGAAGGTCATTGTGTCAGGCAGCATGGATATCAGAACCTTCCTCTCTCCTTTGGAGGCCCCCAAAACTCTGGAAGTGTGAGGATTAGTTCAGCATTTTAGGTAGTTATTACTACATCCCTACTCTCCTTCTGGGATGGCTGGCCTCACAAGCAATTCGGTCCTGGGTAACATGACCCAGTTCTGAGCTGCTAGCATTGTGGTCATATTTCACTGAGCTGGGACTTCTGGCTCCCCTGAGTAGTACCTACTCTTGTGTAGGACCAAAACATGCATGTGACCCAGCTCATCCATTGAGGGAGTGCAATGATGTCCTTTGAACCTGTTCTCTTTTGTACCTGCATCTGCAGGTGATGGGGCAGGGGCTCTGGGAGGAGCCTGATGGCATGGCTGCCTCATGATAGTTTGTGGCTGGGAACACAAAGCTGTGAGTGTCTAAGTAAGGGACACCAGGAAGATGTTTTGTTCTTGGGTCTAAAAAGCTCTTGGAGCCATCTGATCTCATGGAATGATCCTCATCATGAGATGAGGAAGAAGTGATTGGTTAAGAATTAGAGATGAGGCTTGGTGCCTGTGGCTCAAGTGGCTAAGGC